CTGAGACTCGGAGAAAAATACTTACTTTTTAAGGGTAAGAGAGGCTATATAAAAATTAATTTCATTTGTATAAAATTGTACATAAAAAACTAAGAATTTTAGATTGAAATTTATTTACATATAGCTTTTTTTTATTTACACATGATGTGTGTATTTAGGGCCGCGGTCTAAATTAAAAATTTTGAAGGTAATGTCTTCAAATACATACGATTTTTAATTTTTTTCGTGAATTATAAACAAATATCAGTAAAGTAAGAGCTGCGAAATAGTGTAAGACACAAAATAAAAAAAATATATAAAACAACATAATAAAATTAATACATGTAATAATAAAATTTTTTAAGTCAAACAATTATATCCTATATAAATATGGGGATATATATTATATTATATAATATCCTATATAATAGACTCCTCTGTACACATAGAAACGTAGCTTTAAATATAATGGGCAATAATTTCTATATGCATCGATTTAATAAAAATACATGAATAAAATAGTATTTACCTTCGTTAACTATCAAACAGGATATTGTCAACAAAAAAGATATCAATTGCCAGTACTAGAATAAAATAAAATATTATTTTATATTTCAATCAAGCCTTTTATACTAAGTGTTTTACTCACCACCATTTTTATTCAAGTTTTAAATTCTAAATGACCAATGACAATTTTTATATTACATTACTGTATATATAAACTTTGATATAATGCCTCTCTTTATAATTTTAAATTTAAAATAATTATTTTATGTAAATATTAAATTATACTTTAAACAATAATAGCTATTTTAAGTCAATCTATTTATTCACATGCGGATAACATTAAACAAATCGGTATTGGCAAGAACACTATTTTGATTTAATAAAAAATGTGAATTATTAATACAAATACAATTTTATACTTATATTTTATCACGATAAAATAACATTTTAGGGATGTATTAGTAATAAAAAAAGTATATAAATTACCCATGTTTATAACTAGAGAATTAAGAGAATTAGATCACAGGAAATAAAGATTTCGCTTGTGTAATTAAAAATATACAGAATGATCGATTTAAATGCCTTGATTATTAGCAAAAAAATGTAATATTAGGAAAATATTTTTTATTTTTTTGAGTTACGTATAATTCTTGATTTATTAGCTAATAAGTACTTTTTTAAATCATGGTTTATAACTTAATGGGAGTCAACTTTATTTTTTTTTAGTGACAACATTTATATTTCATTAATATATAATAGAATTAATTCTAAAACTTATTACTAAACCTATTACTAAACAAAAAAATCATACAGTTATCAGTCGACAGTGATAACCGATCGATGCCGCTAAATAACCGAGAGAGGAAGGGTAAATGAGTAGACAGAATCAAGTAAGCGCGCGCCATCTACGATTTGCATACGGTGCGAACATCTCGACTCCTTTAAAGCATTGTGCTTCAATCCACTTAACACTCTGGCAATGGACACATCTTGACAACGGGTCTTTTTAACTGGTTACTTGTCCTTTCCTGGATGCATCGCTTCTATTCTTATCATAGGCCATTTTAATTTGTGGTGAATTATATTCCTTTAAAATTGCTAATGATTCAATAGGAATCTATTTTTCATCCTTAAAAAACTTATTTTTCACCTGCAACGAAGACAAATATTCCATTCTCCATCTACGCGAGAAGTCTTGCATTGATTTTTGCATCAATGGATGGTGGTATAAAAATCCATTGTATGCCTTCATTAAGCAGTTCATCATGCATAGTTCTTCCAAACCTTTGTTTTGTATAATATTTTATTATTTCACGTCTAGTTCCCACAAAATTGTTGGCATTATCGAACCAAATATGTGATGGCAAATCACGTCATGAAATGAAACGTCTTAAACAAGCCATGAAGACATCTGCACTAAGACCACTTTAGCACTTAAATGTACCACTTTAGTAGATAAACAAACACACTAACATAAGTCTTAATTAATGTGCTCTTACGAATTCCAACCTTAATCATAATTTGCAAGTAATCCTTGAGAACCGATATGTAGGAACTTCTTTTGGTAGGCTTCGAATATCATTTGAGTCACCCGATGATTACGTGTTAGCAACGCTGGATGTTTCTGATTCAGACCTAATTCTGAATGTTTCAAACGACCTCCAACTCGCAATATCCCTTTGTCAAGGAACGGCGATAAATTTTTTAACGGCCCCTTAGTTACGGAATTGCCCTGGCTTAATTCTCGTATCTCCGCTGCAAAAGCCTGTTGCTGAGCAAACTTAATCCAGATATCCCGCGAGTTATTAAGCTCAATAACGCTAAACGGACCTGTGTCTGGTTGAGTTGATGTATATATCGCTTTGCGACGGACCCAGGCAATAAATTGCTTCCATATTGCAGTCATGCGCAACAACTTGTACCAGGTCGAAAAATACTGAAGTAGTCTATTATCCACTATCTCAGTCATTGTGAGAGTAAATTTAACAGGCCGTCGTTCATTTGACGCTTCTTGAGAAACCGTATAACATTAGCCAACCTTCGTCGACACCTATAAAAAAAGCAGGTCCATTCTACCATAGGTCCAATGACAACAATGCGTCTACATTTATTCCACGCGAAAGGGGATCTGCGGGATTACAATGGGTAGGAACGTGTCACCACTTTTCATTACTAATCGCATCTAAAATTTAAGTAACATGGTTAGCCACGTACTTCTTTCATTGGACTCTGAATCCAAGCTAGGACCACCGTCGAATCACACCAACAAATACACGCTCCTTGAATCAACATTGCTTAATTTGACAATTCGATTTATCAACTCAGCCTATAACAGTGCACCGGAGAGTTCCAACCGTGGTTCAGTTAAAGTTTTGGTAGGCGCAATTCGTGATTTGGCACAAAATAACCGAACTGTCCATAAATTTAGTCCGATTTGCTGACATAAATAAATGCAAGCACCATAAGCACTTTGGGACGCATCACAAAAGCCATGTAGTTCTATCGTTTCTTGACCATTCAAGACAGCACGAGGTATCCTTAACTAGTGCAGTTCTTCTTACTTTTGGATATAAGTAGCCTACCTGATTTGCAACTCTTCGGGCAGAACATCGTCCCAATTCAAATTCATCTGCCACAATTCTTACAGAAACACCTTTCCCCGGATTAAGACGGGGCCTAAAAAGCCTAGCGGGTCAAACACACTATTAAGTGTTGATTACAATTCTCTTTTGGTTTTAACGCTTCTTGCTGTTCTTTCCTTGCTCAATAACTTCAACTCATCAGTTATGGGACACCAAGTAAGCCCTAAAGAACTCACTGTTATATCCCTACTAAGTTCTAAAGAATAATGCCTTCCCGTAGAAGTACACGCGAAATGCTCGCGTAATTCCTCGGCATTTACACAGGCGCATGCCACCATTTCCTAATATTTTAGAAAACTCCTGATAACAAACCTTACACCTATCCTACATAAATTTATACCTATGAAGACATTTCGTGAGTCTACCTTCCCTCCCTGGGTGTCTGCCAAATTAAAAAATCAAAAAAAAAAAAAATTAGCTAAAAAGAAATAAGTTCATAAGCTATACAAAATTAATGGAAATGCTTTTTTTTACTACAATTTTTCTCTCCTGTGCGCCCAATGTAAGGCTGATTCCAAGTATCTATATAATAATTATTTAAAAATTACTCAAGAATGCCTATGTAGTAACCCACGTATGTTCTGGTTATATTTTTCGTGAAGGCCAAGGTGAGAAAAAAATTCCTGACTAGGTTTTCCTTGGTACTGATAAAACCTCTGGTATCCAAGTTCCTGATCTTTTCTCATCTTATTTGTCGTCCGTTATAAAAATCATTCCTTAGCCTCAACAGATCATCTCGATGTACTTAACTTACCTAATTTTACATTCCTTCCTTCTTCTCTTTCTATATCTTGTGATGAAGTACACGAGGCTTTGGAATTGTTGTCAAATACACGTAGTTTGGGTCCAGATTGAATTTCTTCTTTGTTTTTATACCGTTGTCGTGATATACTCTGTATACCTATTTTCCTTGTATACAACAAATCCCTCACTAAAGGTGTTTTCCCTTCTTCTTGAAATTTAGTAGAGTGACTCCTATTTTGAAACATAATAATCCTTCAGATGTCAAAAACTATCGACCTATTTCGTGTATGCCCTGATTAGGTAAAATGTTTGAGTCAATTGTTTTAAAACATATTCAGCAGAAATTTTTATCAATTTTATCAGTCGATCAACATGGTTTTTCCCCTAAACGCTCCACTGTTACTAGTTCTCTTGACTTTATGTCCTATATCCAAGAAGCATTAGAATCTAAATTACAATTTGATGTAATTTATACAGACTTTTGTAAAGCTTTTGAGTCCATTAATCATAATACTTTAGTAGATTCGTCTTAGACCATTTAGGAGTCGGTGAATCTTTTTTGTCTTGGATTAAATCATACTTCAGTGGAAGAAGTCAGTTTGTCCATTTATTTGGCAATTCATCTAATATCTTTCCTACTCCTAGTGGAGTACCTCAAGGTAGTCATTGAAGTCCGTTATTGTTCAATATTTTTATAAATGGTATTTTTTCTGTTGTCTCTCCATGTCGTATAATACTTTTTGCTGACGACGCTAAAATATTCCTTAAAAATTTTAAGAGTGATGATTGTTTGACTTTCCAAAAAGTCTTAGATCAATTTGTCATCTGGTGTTGACAGTCGGATTATTTCTTAACGTTGATAAATGTAAAGTCATGTCCTTTTACCGAACTCGTGAAATGATAAGTAATTATTACCGTCTTAATAGAGTACAGTTAAAACGTGTCTCCTAAGTAAATAACCTAGGTTTTGTTTTCGTTCCTTCGCTAGACTCTAGACCACATATTGACTTCATAGTTGGTAAAGCTCTGCGTGTGTTAGGATTTATTCGTCGTAATTCTTCAAATTTCAAAACCTCGTGATTGTTTAGTTAGTTTATATAGCTCTCTTGTTAGATCGACTTTAGAATATGGATCATTGATCTGGTCACCCTTTGTAATATAGGTCATTATTTTGTAAAACGGAAAGTAAAACATTTTTGTAATGTTTGGTTTAATTGTAATCTCTTGATCTATTGTTCTAAATAAAATATAGTCTATTATTTGAAAAGCTAGAAGTAAAATATTTTTGTAGTGTTTGGATTAATTGTAATTCCCTGAATTATTGTTACTAGACCAGGAAATAAATATTTATTAACACTTTTGAAAACGATTGTATTATGAATTTTTGTAAAAAAAAGAAGAACAAAATATTTTAGTACATAAGACCAAATTGAATGAATTGAAAGAAAAGAGAAGACCTCGGAAGTACCAAAGGTAATCTCTTTTCACGTGGTACGTTTGTGATATTAAGTTTTCATTTTGTGTATTATTTATTTATTCTGTTTTAAGTGTATCATTATTTTGTATGTTTTACATTGTTTGATTATATCATTAATAATTACATTTTGCGATATTATTGAACTGTTATAACTATAAGTTAGAACAAAAAGATTGTTCCATATTTAAATACAACACCTTACAGCAGTTGACAAACGCCGAATTAATAAGATTCAAAATAGATTTCTAGGTTTCGCTGGTTATATCTTTAATATAGCGCACCCAGCCTATGATTACGGTCCAATAAATGAATTTCTTAAGCTTGAGTCTTTAGAACATAGACGTGTAAAATTC